ACTTTCCCACTTAATTTGGTTTGTTACTGGACAATTATTTGTGGTTCTCTCATGTCTTGGTTTCACAAGGAGCCCAAAGTTCTGAACTTCAAGGCTCTTAACCTGCGTAAGGAGACTAGGAACAGTTTCATGTGAGAATTAACGAGTTAAGTGAGGTAATATTGGGGAGAGGGTTAGCCTGTGCTTCGTTTATTACCAGACATGGTCATTTTAACAGGAACAGGCTTGCCATGGATTGAAGTGTGTACCCCAAAAATGTGTGTCAACTTGGCTAGGCCATGATTCCCAGGATTGTGTGGCTGTCCATTTTGTGATATGATGTGATTTTTGTATGTGTTGTAAATCCTACCTCTATGATGTTAATGAGGCAGGATTAGAGACAGTTATGTTAATGAGGCAGGACTCAAGTCTACAAGATTAGGTTGTATCTTGAGTCAATCTCTTTTGAAATATAAAAGAAGCCAGCAGAGAGGAGGGGAACCTCCTACCACCAAGCAAGAAGAGCTTGGAGCACTCGTGTCCTTTGGACCCTGGATCCCTGGGCTGAGAAGCTTCTAGACCAGGGGAAGATTGATAACAAGGGCCTTCCCCTAGAGCCAACAGAGAGAGAAAGCCTTCTCTTTGAGCTGACACCCTGAATTCAGATTTCTAGCTTCCTAGACTGGAAGAGAACAAGTTTCTCTTTGTTAAAGCCATCCACTTGTGCTATTTGTTATAGCAGCACTAGATAACGAAAACAAGGCTCCTCAGGAAGGAGTGGAGGTAGAGTTTGAGAAGTTCATTAACAGACTGATAATTGAGAGCTAGGCTAAGGATTTTTGACTTTCTTTTAAAGTTACTGAAGAGAAATGCATATTTATTACTCTAATTTCCTGTCAACACTAGCGAATTCACTTTACTCTATTTGATTTTTATGTAAGTATGCTCAAAATAAAACATTTTGTTTGGTTTTATTTTAGTTGTTCCTGAAAATGATAGGCCCAACTCATGGCCAGATGACAGTAACGAGACTTGTGAATACATTAAAAGAAGGAAAACGTTTGCCATGTCCACCTAACTGCCCAGATGAGGTATTTATGGGCCACTTCACAGTAATAAAACTGTTTTCATTACGGTTTCACAACTTCAGCTATCCAGTAAAGGAAGAGGGGTGGGAGAACCAGAAGTGGGGTAGAAAATTCCTTTAAAATAGTATTCTGAAGCTGCATTTCAGATAATTTATTTGAGAAATCATCTTAGGGGCAGACGATAGCCATACGTTAAGTTCAAATCAAGGATTCCCTAAAGGAGCATATTTTGGATGAGTGTTATTGGGAGAAATGGATATAATTACGTCTTTGTAAGTTTATCCACTTATTTATAGCACGTATAACATTTACTCAGTTTTTTGTACTCTAAAGTGAATTGAGTGCTTGCTTCGGCAGCACGTATACTAAAGTGAATTGAGCCTTTAAGACTAAATTCGAGACTGTTTAAAATGTACTGAATAGTGTAAGTCAAAGAATGAAACAAGTTGGGAAATCTAGAGTCTAAATTGAGATTTAATGTAACCCTTTTGGAGCCCTGGTGGCACAGTGGTTAAGAGCTCGGCTGCTAACCAAAAGGTCAGCAGTTTGAATCCACCAGCTGTTCCTTAGAAACCCTATGGGGCAGTTCTACTCTGTCCTGTAGGGTCACTATGAGTCAGAATCAACTCGATGGCATTGGGTTTGGTTTTGAGTTTTTACATTGGTTTACAATAATGACCTGGATCTTTCTGAAGGTTAATCAGCCCTTGAGCTTCTCAACTGTTAAAATATTATTTATGAACTATAGTTGTATAATCAGGAGAGACCAGTCCCTGGAGAAGGACATCATGCTTGGTAAAGTGGAGGAAGACCCTCAACGAGATGGACTGACACAGTTTCTGCTACAGTGGGCTCAAGCACAGCAATGACTGTGAGGATGGCGCAGGACCAGGCAGTGTTTCATTCTGTTGTACACAGGGTTGCTATGAGTAGGAACCAACTCGATGGCACCTAAAAACAACATAGTTGTGTAACATTTTCTGTATTTTAAATTATTTAAATATTCTTGTTTTCTAGTTAGTTTATTAAGGAAAAGTTATTTACATTTCCAAAATTGTTTTCCTACCCTTGATGTTCTATGATGTTAAAAAAGCTCCCAAAGCCGAACAACATTTTCACTGTTGTTGACTGTTTTTTTGTTTTTTCTTTTTATAGGTTTATCAACTTATGAGAAAATGCTGGGAATTCCAACCATCCCATCGGACAACCTTTCAGAACCTTATTGAAGGATTTGAAGCACTTTTAAAATAAGCATGAATAACATTTAAATTTCATTGTTTATCAAGTCCCCCTTCCCCCACCAACAAATACCCAAGCCATTTAAAGAAAAAAAAATTTAATGGACAAAGTTTCTGTTCAGTCTGAAAACTCACTCAACGAATACCTGAGCGTGAATCCACGTATAATGGGGCACACTGTGGCGCTTAATGTGTGTAAGGACTTCCTCTTTAAACGTGGCATCAGTATCATAGTGACAGTGACAACCAACTATTAGGAAACACTTAAGCACTCCTCCTTTCGGAAGGAATATATCACCATTCCGTGTGGCTACTTTACCATCACCTACAATTGCCTGCCAAAATGGAATTTTTCAAAACAAGAGGGAGTGGACCAAAATAATGTTTCAAAATGATTGCTTTTTCTGAGCTGCCAATTGATCTGAAATGTTTTTCTGGCACGTAAATCAAAGATAAAGATTGACAGACTTAGCCGATAACTCTAACATGACCTCACATTTCAGTCTCTATACAGTGATAGACCAAGCATTCTTGAAATATTAGACACCAGTTAGCATATTTTGTTTCTATACAAAGTTGAGTGTATTCCTGTCACCAGTAGGAATTAAACTTTGAATTGTTTCTCCAATGGCTTAGCTCCTGTCCCCTTGGGTGACCTGCGGTACCTGTTTTTGAGAAAACTGTTTATGCACAAGGGGACAGCTGTGGAATAGATACTCTGCTGCATGATATTAACTCTTGAGAACTAAGCCTGTGCCAGTGCTTTCCTAAGCAGTAACCTTTAATCAGGATTGATCCCAAGAACCTGGATGCTATTATACATGCTTTAAAGAAATGCCAGTGTATATCCTCTTACAACTCTACCACTTCAGGGCAAGCTGTTCCAGCATTGGTTTTGGATGCTGTATGCAACTAGTCAGAACATATACCACATACATTGTACTGTTCTTAGAGTGTTTCAAAACTTACCTTCCATCTCCAAGAGTTGATAACTATTTTGACCATCACCCTATGACACAAAACTTGAAAGAAAAGGCCCAACTAGAGGCACTATGAAGTTCAGGATCCACAAAACAGTTTTTGGTTTGCTTGAAGGTAGCTGGGTAATCAAAAATGGTTAGTGTCTGATTCAGTGTGAACCATAAAGAACTTTATGACCAAGAAGTCTGAAAAACTTTTTGTTAATGCTGTCTAGCATGTGTTCAGTATCATTACTTTTCACCTTTTTTAGCCTGGAAAAGTGTTCAGAATTAATTCAACGGCAACAATAAACTTGCCATTTAACTTGTTTGATAATCCTACATCACCAAGGTCTCTGTTTATGTCAAACCTGTGGCCACTCTATATGCACTTTGTTTACTCTTTATACAAATAAATGTACTAAAGACTTTACATGCATATGCCTTTTAATATTAAGATTTCATTTTCAAAGCATTTCAGATAATTTGCTTACATAGAAAAATAACAGTATAGGCTTTTGGGGATTGGTAATGGTCCTTATTAACTAACACCACTTGATTTGCACTTTTGTTATGTCCAATGATAATAGGGCACAGGCTAGTGGGGATGGCAAATCCATGTGCTGTAATCCAAGAATACTTCATGTCAGTTCTTTCAGCCTCTTCCTGCTTTCATTTTACAGCTCTGATTTAAAATCTACCATCTTCCCTTTTTTCTGTTTTCATTACGGGAGAGGTGTGACTAAACACTGAAGAGGTTAAAGGCAGCAGGAACACAGGAAGGAGAAGTGCAGGGCATGGGGAATCCATTAATCATCTGCTATGTAACTGGAGTGATGCCTGATGGTGATCAGTTATTTATAGGTAGTATACTTCTTAGAAATTATTTTAATTTTCTAAGTGTCATTTTCCATCAGAAGTTAGTATATACAATAAATTGGACCAAGTAAAATTCTTTACAAAGCATATAATGTATGCATCAGTTCTAGACTTCATAATTCAAACAGGATAGATACTTCAAATCATAGTCAAAATAATTCGTCACCCAAATGACAAGATGGGTTATGCTCTGATTTCAAAAAGACAAGTTCATTGAGACCCCAAACTCCATATCATCCATTATAATCTCATAACAATAAACAAACTCAGAAATTTCTAGATGGCCAAGGGTTTCTCATGCATTTAATACCAAGAGCTTCAGAAAATGGTGATGTCAAAAGTCATATATGCAATAAGGACAGACAATTCTTTCAGATACAAATTGGGTTGAACAGCTGATAGTTTTTCAGCCTAACACACTACAAAAGAATAAGACAAAGCACAGAGTGAGGTATAGATTAGCTCAAAATAGTTACAAATACTGTTGCTCCATAAGACTCCTTCTGAAAGGGCAGTGTTGACTGCTGTACTTTATTGTGGAACTAGGCCATGTGCTGATCAAACCAGGCCCCCTAGATCATCGCTAGTCTATACTATGAAATGGGACACAGAAACCTGCAAACCTTGCCACTTACAAGTCTGTCGAAAAGGTTAAGGGTCTGTCTTCAGGTGAAGTAAAAGGAATAGAGAATTAGTGCCGTTAGATGAGGGGTCACAAAAGTTTTTCTCTAAAGGACCAGACAGAGTACATATTTTAGGCTTTGCAGGTCATTTGGTCTCTGTCGCAACTACTCAACTCTGCCTTTGTAGTACAAAAGTAGCCATTGATAATACATACGGGGATGAGCGGCTGTGTTCCAAGAAAATCTTATTTACGGACACTGAAATTTGAATTTCATATAAACTTCACATATCATAAATTTTCTTTTCTCCTCTAACCATTTAAAAATGTAAACTCATTCTTAGCTCACCGGCAGTGCAAAAACAGGTGGTGGACGAATTTGGCCCACAGGGCAGAGTCTGCCAACTCCTGTATGAAATCACAAAACTACTTTTCTTAAAATACCTGTTTTTCACAAAAGGTATAAATGCTAAATAATAAATCAACAGTAAAGCATCTGTTGTGTGGCATGTACTTTGGACATCACTGTCAGTCTGTGTTCGGGTTTTCTATTGCATGGCTGGTGTATGGGTAGTAATTTAGTTTGCATGTAGAGCATCTTTGTGACATCACCGTCACTGCATTTGGTACTTGCACTTTTGTAGTTCTAGGAAAAGTTTTAAAGATCTATAAACGAGATTACTTCTAGGGAGAGCAAATTGAAATGCACATTGGCTTGTAAGAAACTCATTCTTCTAAGGCTCAGGAAACAAGATCGTTTCCTATTTATTGCTTCAGACTTTTATATATGGTGTCAAAATTATTCCCAGTCCTAAAACAAGGAATACTGAAACGTTGTTAATTTCTCCAATGGACTGTAAGTTAATGTCACATTGATTCAGATGTGTTTAATTCTACTGGAAAATGTTCTCAATGGGTGTCTCTTCTTATTGCTACTTATTTTTCATTTGGCGGTTCTGCCTGCTGCACAACACAGTTACTTCTGGGAAATTATAAACCCGTATTTAAAGGATATGGCTAGTTTGAATGAAGTTAAGGCAGCGATGAATAGCAGAGGTACTGCAAGGGACCTTAGGAGGTTGTAAGGAGAGACCTTCACTCAGTACACTCGCTTCTTCTTTAAGTAGGTTTCCATGTAATAAGCTCCTGTGCCCTGAGAATGCTGGTCAGCAAATTTCACGGAACCACTTTCAGGGGCAGAGAGAAGATATGACGAGCCTCGCTTTTCATTTCTTAAAGATGACACCTATGAGAAAGCACAAGTGATGTTAAAGTCTGTAACAACATTTGCCCAAAAGCAAAGATGAGAAGGCAGGAAGGGGCAGAAAATCCAGAAAAGGAATTGGGGAACCCAGGGTGGAAATAGAGTGCTAACACATTAAGAGGAATGCAAGCAACGTCATGGAACAGTTCATGTACAAACTATCAAACAGGAAACTAATTTGTTCTGTGAACTTTCACCTATGGCACAGTTAAAAAAAAAAAAAAAAAACACTGTTGAGCAGATGGAAAAAAGCAAAATACGAAGTGGACCACGGTCACTGATCTGCATGTGTCGTGCCCTCCACCCCTCAGCCCAGCCTTCTGAAATGAAAATACGAGAAAATGGATGCCCTGCTCTTATCACCCTGTCCTGGTTTTTCCTTTAAAACGGAAACCACTTAGCAAACAGGCACAACTTTAGCCAAACAAGCACTGGAGTCTGTAGCAACCAAAAGTTAAATTGATGGAGTTGCCCAGTTGTCTGGGCTGCCTGGGATGGGGAGGGAAGACTCTGCGGAGACGAAAGATGAATTAGTCCATCAGCCACCTTTCTTTCACTCGTGTTTTCCTGCCATTTTTCTTTCCTGGAGTGTGGGTGCAGGACAATCCCAGGTCCCTGATATACCTCAAGTCAATGTTTTCCAAACTGTGAATTGAGGACCCACTAGTGGGTCATGGGGGCCATTGCTGGTTCAGTGGTAGAATTCTTGCCTTCCATGTGGGAGATCCAGATTCAATTCCCAGCCAATGCACCTAATGTGCAGCCACCAACTATCTGTGGAGGCTTGTGTGTTGCTATGATGCTGAGCAGGTTTTAGCAGAGTTCCAGACTAAGAAGAGACTAGAAAGAAAGGCCTGGCACTCTACTTCTGAAAGGCAGCCAGTGAAAACCCTATGGATCACAGTGGTCTGATCTGCAACATCGTGGGGATGGTACAGGACTGGGCAGCGTTTTGTTCTGTTGTGCATGGGGTTGCCATGAGTCGGGGCTGACTCAACAGCAGCTAACAGCAGCAGAGTGGACCATGAAATCATTTTGTGAGTTGTGACCAGCAATTTAAAAAAATAAGACTAGAATAGAAAACATCAAAGTGCATCACATGGTAAAAGAATAAACACTTGTAATTAAAAAAATAAAATCTAATTATAATTGGTTTCTTCATTAAGGATGTGTACAGAAAAAGCAGCTTACTGATTTGGTGTAAATACAAATATGAGAGCTTTATTTAAAAAAAAACACACAGACTTGTTAAAAGAGTAAAACAAATCTATATCAAAATCACCTGTGGAGCTTTTGCAACATACAAACAAGCCTGTGAGTGCCCACCTCGTCCACTCTCTCATGCATTTTGGGGAAAGAAAAAAAAGCACTGCAGTTGCTCTGCTTCTCAAACATAGGAAAGCCCCACTGAATGAAAATACTGAATATCAGTATTGCTGTGAGGAAGGAGAATGGCTAAGAAGTCGAGCTGCCTCTCAAATTAGATGTGAGGTCTACTTAGTAATAAAAGGAGTGGCAAGAAAATAAACCAGGAAGTGTAAAAACTAACAAATGATTTCCAGAAAAATACACGATGGGCTTTACAGAGCACTGAGAACGCAAACCTTGGTCTACAATCACCTGGGGAGCACATTAAAGCATAGACTTCAGGATCCATCTCCAGAGGTTCTGATTCACAAACGTTTATGACCAGAAGGGACAAATGTTCTTACAACTGGTCACAGTAACCAATACAATAAATTGGGTTGTGTAGCACAAACTTGTGATCTCCTAACCCCTTAGATTTTAGCTCTTAGAAATACTGTGACAAGCATTATATAATTATATAATTTAATATATAAAGCAGAATTATATAAGAATTCAGAAATAACTGATAAGGATAGCTCCCAGCAATGTAGAAGGGTCTTCTCATATTACAATTACAATTTGTGTTGAATCAGCAAGTGTCACAATTTTAAAAACCAGGGTCAACCTTTGGAAGGACCAGGTGATGTCTGTCATATACCTGCTTGTACATAAAATAGTCAATTCTTAATCATCCATGTTAAGAGGAAGGACAGAAGACAAAATCAGAACCCTTCTACTTTTTGTTTTTTAAAGAAATACCAGAAATTTTATTTCATTGTCTTACAGGCATACGTTGTTGTTAAGAAAATTTAATTTTTTATCATCTCCTTTTATTGGCTTGATTTTGAGAACAAGTCTTTTTTTTTAATAATTTTATTTTTGTTGTTGAGAATATACACTAATTCAGCAATTTCTACATGTACAATTCAGAGACATTGGTATTCTTCAAGTTGTGCAACTATTTTCACCCTCCTTTTCCAAATTGTTCCTCCTTAATAAACATAAACTCACTGACCCCTAAGTTTCCTTTCTAATCTTTTGAGTTGCTGTTGTCAATAGATCGATCTTAAAAGAGCACAAAGCTCAAGGAAGACATTCTTGACTAGTAAAGCTAAACTATGGTTTAGTTTTAAGAAGACTTCAGGGGCTATTTTTGGTTTAAGTTTTAACGATTATCTCAAGGCAATAATTTCAGGGGTTGATCCAGCCTCCATGGTTCCATGAGAATTTGAAATTCTGTTCTTCATTTTCTCCCTTTTGATCAGGAATCTTCTATAGAATGTTTGAGAACTCGTCTATTTTTGTACTTTATTTTGGTGTTATCTACTATTGTAACAGTAAAATAAAATTCCTCTTCACATAATGTTTAAAGGAATATTTCACAAAGTGAAACACTAACTAGCAAAGATAATTTGGCTTTAAATCCTGCTTGAAATTTTTTTCTAGCAATAAAATATATGAGATTTTCTCTACAATAACTGAGAAAGGGAGTAGGTGGGAGTAGAGCTGAAACAAGACTGGCCATGCACTGGTTACTGAAGCTGGGTTGATGGGTACAAGAGATTCATTATACCATTCTCTCTACTTTTGTACGTTTGAAGCATTCCATAATAAAAAGTTTCTCACCAGGGCTAATATTCTACAAAAGAGCTGCCTGCAACAAAACTGCTTGCTAACCTACTTAACTGGAGCCTGCCCACCCTACATCTTCTCCTCCCACTGTCAGGCGCCTTAATTATTCTCCATTTGAGTTCTTTTGTTGGTCTGGTGATCATAATTACTGTGTGCTGGACCCAAACCACTAAAACTGTCAGTCCCTTACTATAACATAGGACTCTTATCAGCTTCCTTCCTCTAATATATCGTTAGTGCATTCCACGAATGAGATTTTTTTCAAAGATAAGGAGGCATAAACAACGAACACCTCACTCAGGGATCTGGAAAAAAAACTCATCTCACGCTCTTCTTAATTCGCGTCTCTGATTCTTCCTGGTGTGTAGTAATCTGCTGTTTCATGTCTAAAAGCAAAGAAACTGCCTGAATTTTCCCCTCTATACCATCTTTATTCTCATCCAGGCAGGAAATTTATTAGATGCTTTCATTCAGAGGACTTCCCAATGGTGCTACACCATTCACAGTAAGAACCGAGAGATGATGAGATCAGTGAAAAACTTCACCGAACAGCACAGAAAAACAACAGTCAGAACAGGAAATGAAAATGCATGTTATTACAGACCGTATGACAATGGGAGAAGATAATTCTTCTGATACACTCTATCAAAGATAAGTCTAACTTTTACTGCAAGGGCTGTCGGGTTAAGTGAGGGACGCTGACAGTTAAGATTTTTGAAACAAAGCTCAATGCTTCTGGGAGAAATCTGTAAGAAATGATTGAAAAAGAAACCACGTAAGAGGGGAAGAGTATGAAGCAAGCAAATATTTTTCCTTCTAGTTCCCATCTGCAGACTACAGATGTCCAGTTCTGGGCTGGGTGCTATAGGGATACCGAGATGAGTGGAGCGCTGGTGACACAGTGGTTAAGAGCTATGGCTGCTAATCAAAAGGTCAGCAGTTTGAATCCACCAGCTGCTCCTTGGAAGCCGTATGGGGCAGTTCTACTCTGTCCTACAGGGTCGCTGTGAGTTGCAATTGACTCGACGGCAATGGGTTTGATTTTTTTTGGTTTAGATGAGCGAAACTTCAACTGTGCCCTCAAAAAGTTCATACCCTAGGAGGGAAAGTAGGAAGAGCACAAAACATAATTCTAAAGGGAGAAAGTCACCAAGCCAAAAGAGAAATACAGGTGAAGTGCTAAAGCTTTTTCAAAGATGGGAAATGGGAAAGGGGCATTTGAGAAAGGGTGTTGACAATGGTTTCACAGATAAGATGGCACCTGAGTTAAGATTTGAAGGCTAGGTCAGATGTGGACAGGTGGAGACAAGGAGATAACTATTCTAGGAGAAAAGGAATAGGCTGAGCAGAGACAGATGGCAGGAAGCATGAGTCTGTGATGGAACAGACAGGCTGGTACATGGAAGAGAGTACACCAGCAAATAAGGTTGGAAAAGCAGGCTGGCCTCGATCATGGAGGGGCTGGAATGCCAAGCTAAGCATTACGAACAGGGAATGTTATGCATGATCTTGGAATCTGGAAAGATGAATTTGGTAGCTGGGCATTACGAAACCTTGCCAGGATGCCCTTGCTATTATACTCATGCGTGTGGGCAAACACACAGAGAGGAGAAGTGATTTAACATTTGGTTTAAAATTGTGCATGGAATATACAAGTGAGAAAGAACAAAGGGATATACTTCGAAAATCTGGAAAAACAACCTCATTGGACATTTATGCTTTGGAGAGACTGAAGAAAGGGAAGACATTGAGAGAAGCTGTACCATTCTGATTTTGCATGTCTAATACTCAGCTGGAAATCAGATCAACAAATTAGCCAAGCCATGGTACATTTGGAAAAGTATAAATTGAGAAAATGTAATTATGGTACCCTGCATTATCTTAGAGAGTACTTTTATGTCCATTATATCCTTGATCTTCACAGATGCTCCATACAGTAGGCAGAGAAAGATTGTCTCCACTGAATAGATGAGAAAACAAAAACTCAGATAACCTGTGTGACT